GCCGAGGAACGTACGATGCGAGAAAACTTTGGAAGCGGGAGCCGGGGAGTTCTTGGCGGCCATGTGGACACCCGGATTCCCCGCCTCCGTGTCCGTAGTCTGCACACCTGTTTGTGGATGTCCCCAACTTGGCATTTCAGCGGCTTGACTCGCCAAGAAAGAGCGACGGGGAATTCATACAAGAAAGGACGGTGACGGGGGCATGGGGGGTAGAGGCGGCGAGACGGCCGAACCTCACTTAGACGCCACATTTTAGGAGGAAGACCCCCCCCCATGTGATTGTAAATTAGATTGAGTCACGGTCCATATCCATCGGTTGGGCTGTGTGACCCGAGGCGACTGAGGTAACCTCTCTGGGCTACAGTTTTCTGATCTAGAAAAGGCAGTGGGGCTGCATCTTTAAGGGCTCTTCTAGCTCTGACATTTTCTCACGTCCTTTAATGAAATCGTTTTCCCTTTTCGTGTTAGGTTTTCTAGTTATCCTACTAGAAGTCTGCAGGTGCAGATGCTAATCTTCAATCAGGTCAAACACATTTTGACATTTTCATGTCAGAATCACTGAAAAGCCCTCGTTAAGCATGTGAGGACTTAGAACTAACTTCAAACAGGAGTCCCATCCTTCCGGAGACGGCATACAGAAGTCACTCATCTGCACGATGTAAGAAAGAACAGAGGGAAACATGAAGCCAATGTCGTCTTTACAGCTACCTAACAGACAAGCAGCACAGCAGCCGAATCTTTCTTAAAAGAAAGAATATGGAGTGGCCAGGGGGCAGATGTTACCCTTTAATAAGGGAGGAGTGGGATACTGGGATTCCTGACTAGAAATGTCAGACTAGGACAGGCTGGGCAATGTGTTCTTACAGGAGATTCTCCCCGGGAAGAAGGCTCCTCCCCCACTGGAGCGCAAGCTCCATGCAAGCAGGAGTTATGTCCCCTTCACTGCTGTGTCCTCTGGTACCTAGCAGTGCCTAACACACAGTAAGTGTCCCAGAAAATATTTGCTGAGTGAATGCATGAATACGCAGAGTGGAAGTGGCCCCGAACGACGGGATTGGCAGGGCTTTGGTAAATGCGATAAAGCAGAAGCAAATGGTAAATATAATAAGGCAAATCGGTTCTAATACTCTGCCTCACAGGGTTGTTGAGGGAAGATGTGAAAGCACTTTGAAAATATCAATCGATATGAAAACGAAGTTTTTTTTTATTATTTATTTTTTGAGTCAGTCTCACTGTCGTCCAGGCTGGAGTGCAGTGGCACGCTCAAGGCCACTGCACCCTCGACCTGCTGGGCTCAGGCGATCTTTCTGCTTCAGCCTTCCAAGTAGCTGGAACCACAGGGTGCACACCACCATTCACGGCTAATTTTTTGATTTCTTGTAGAGATTAAGTCTCATCAAGTTGCCCAGGTTGATCTTGAACTCCTGGGCTCAGGCAATCCTCTCACCTCCGCCTCCCAAAGTGCTGGGATTACAGGCATGAGCCACTGTGCCTGGCCCAGAGTGTTTTATTATATAGCTCTTGGTGCAAAGAGAATGGTTGAGAAAAATCATTGCTAAGAAACTTTGAATTCTTTATTGTAATTCTCTAAAGCTAGAGACTTAGAAATATATGTAAATCAAGAGAAATGAATTGGCATCTTTTTAATGATTCAACAAGTCCATCTTACTTGGACTTTTTTTTTTTTAGATCAATTTGATTTCCAAATCTTGACAACTTGCTTACACATATCAGAATTACCTGGAAAGCTTTCTCAAATTTCAGAATCCCAAGCCCCCTCCCCAGATTTGCTTGAATCAGAATCTCTGGGAATGAGGTCTGGAAATCTGTCTTTAAATTTTCTCTAGGTGATTCAAAAGCAATGAGCAGATTTGGTGACTTGCATTTATGAATCATTTAATAAACAGCATTGTCGCCCAAAGATATATAGAGATTAATGAGTCAGTGGTTCTTGTTCATAAGAAGTTCACGGTTTAGGGGAAGAAGTAGAGGTTTAAACTAACATTGGCAATGCAGAATGCCAAGCTCTACAATAGACTACCATAGTACTGAAGAGAGTCCCTCTATTCAGCTTGAGAGGAAGATAGCTGATGATGTTTGAGGAGAGCATTAAAAAGAACATGTAAGAATGGTTGGTTACCAGGGGGCTGGTGGGAGAGGATAGGTTGGGGAATGTTTAATGGTTACAGCATTTCTGTCTGGGATGATAGAAATTTTCTGGAGATGGACAGTGATGATGGTTGTAATACAACAATGTGAATGTAATTAATACCACTGAATTGTATGCTTGAAAGTGGTTGAAAGCCGGGCTCGGTGGCTCAGCCTGTAATCCCGCGCCTTTGGGAGGCTGAGGTGAGTGGATTGCCTGAGCCCGCGGGTTCAAGACCCGCCTGGGCAGCGAGATCTCATCTCTACAATACATCAAAAAATCATCCGGGCTTGGTAGCACGCGCCTGTAATTCCGGCTACTTGGAAGGCTGAGGCAGAAGGATCGCCGGAGCCCAGCAGGTCGAGGCTGCGGTGGCTGGGAGCGGCCACTGCACTCCAGTCTGGGCCACAGAGTGAGACTCCAACTCAAAAAAAGAAGAAAAAAAAAGTGGTTGAAATGGTACATTGTATGTTATGCATATCTTACAACAAAAAAAAAGTGAGAGTAAGGGGAAGAACACATAGGGATTAGTAAAACAGATTGCAAGGGCAAATGGAGTCTTCTAATCGTAGGGCACAGAATTTCCGAAGGACTAGAGGGTGAAAAAGTATGCTTCTTTTGGAGATGTTAAGTAGTTAGAAGTGGCTGAAGCTGATTTTAAGTAAGTAGACAGGCCATACTTTTGAAGGACATTTTGGATTTTATCCCAAATGCAATAAGCAAATGTTGAAGAGTTTAAGCAGGCAAGTGACATGTTTTTTTTGTTTTTAGTTGGAATCTCACTCTGTCGTCCAGACTGGAGTGCAGTGGCCGCTCCCGGCCACCGCAGCCTCGACCTGCTGGGTTCCGGCGATCCTTCTGCCTCAGTCTTCTGAGTAGCCGGAATTACAGGCATGCGCTACCACGCCTGGCTGATTTTTTGATTTATTGTAGAGATGAGGTCTCGCTGCCCAGGTGGGTCTTGAACCCGCAGGCTCAGGCAATCCACTCACCTCAGCCTCCCAAAGGCGCGGGATTACAGGCTGAGCCACCGAGCCTGGCTAGGCTTCAGTTTTGGAGGGGACACATTCAAACCTAAGCAATTAGGAAATAATATAGAAAATGAGGCAAGACACCAGTGATCACATTAAAGGGGGTAGTGGAAAGGGAGTACAGGAAATGGTGGTAAAAATTGGCAACATAGCAATTATTTGGGCATGGAGGGTGAGAGACAAATCAGAAATTTACTCCCAGACTTGTTTTAGGTGACAAAATACAGGGAGAGATTTGGTGGTAATAAGTTGTGAGGCAGGGTGAACATGGATTAATTCCATTTTGGACATCTTGAGTCTAGGTGAGGAAGTCCAGCTGCCAGATCTATGGATCCAGTCCATAATTCCCCAGGCCCTATACATACCAGCATGTGCAATCACATAGGCAATTATGAGTTGGCTTGTATCAGCATCACTTTTATCAGTTATAACACACTTTTGCTGTGTAACAAAACTGCAAAACTTGATGGCTTAAAAAAAGACATGATTCTATGGCTAGGAAGTGTGGACTGGGCTCATATAGAATGACTTTTCACAGCATCACATATCGATGGCTGTACATACCCAAGCATTTGCAGTCAGCTAGTGGCCAGTGGCTTCACTTATATGTCTAGCAGTTGACTGGCTGTTAGCAGGAACAATGACGGTAGCTGGGCCATGTGTTAGCCTCCTCAGGTTCTTTTGTATTGTAGTGGTTATAGGGTTTTTCAGAGCACTAAGAGAAGGCAAGCTGTAACATGTAAGCACTTTAAAGACTTTGCTTGTGTCTCACCAGCTAAAGCAAGTTTTATGGCCAGCCTAATGTCATTGTGGGAGTAGACTACCCAAGGATTTGTATACAAGGAAAGCAGAGCAAATTGAGGTCATTATTGCAAAAATCTGTCATATGTCCTTATTTTTGAGAGTCCTGGGGTTAGGGGGATGGGAGAGGGAGACAGAAGCACATCATGCTTTTCAACAAATGCTTTTCACTCCCTTAGGGCATCTGTCATGTTCTTCCATTTTTGCTCATCTTGGAAATGTGAGATTCCCATGAAGATCCCTCAATATGCCTCACTACTATTGATATCCAATGCCATGGAAATAATACAACATGCCTAGCTACAAACCTTTAAGTGCCAAAGTAAAACTTCATACTGTGACGTCCTCATTGTGTTAACGCCTGGCTATATAGTACATGCACAAGTAGGGAGAATGCCTCTCCCTCTAACCCCATTACCGTCCTTATTTCCCTGGTTTGATAATTCCTAACAAAAAGATGTCTCTGACTTTGTTATGGGTTCTAAAATTGAGCTTTACCCTATCTCTAATATAGAGAGATTCAGGTAAGTCTAACCTTGGCGGGCCTGCTCCATCATCTAGAAATACATGGTCATGCCTTAAACCCCAGAAGTATTTTGCTCCTTTTTTTTTTTTTTTTTTTACTACTTAGTAAACTTCCATGTGTAGACATACCACAGTTTGTTGTTAGGTCATTTCTCCTTTTTGGCTATTATGATTAGAGTTGTAAACAACATTAATGCACCAGATCTTGCATGAAAATAAGTCTTTTTTCTAGGATAAATGCCCAAGAATACAATTGCTGGGTCCGATGATAAGTCTACTTTTAGTTTTGAAAGAAACTGCCAAACTATTTTCCACAGTGCAGACTGCTCTTTTTAATACACAAATCTCATCATGTCATTACTTTCATGGCTTCCCACTGCTGTTATAATTAAGGCTAGATATTTTTTAAACATAGACTGCAAGACTTAGCTAATATAATTTCCACTGATTTCTCCAGCCTCATTCTGTACTGCTTCCATTGCTCTTTATACTCAATAGCCTTTTAAAAATCTCAATTCATCATAATCCTCCTGCCACAGTGGCTTTGCAAATGCTGT